ATATTTTTGCTGTTCATTTGTTTTTTTATTATTAAATTTTTGGCATTTTTTGTATATCTTGCATACTAATTCTTTATTGTGTATATGTCACAAAATCTCTATTTGTTGTTTTACTCTTGTTACTCTATTATTTCATTAGATGAACAGGAAATTCCATTGCAATTTCATTGTTTTTAATGATTTGTTGTTTTAAATTGAGAAAATTGAATATATTTATGATGCATAATACATTGTTCATAGCTGACTGCAAAGTGATATGAAAATCTTTAATGCAAAAATTAAAAGTTTCACATTATAATGTTTGATAAGCTGGGAGTTGCACATTGTGACACATTAAGTACACCAAGTAACATCTAATCTAGCCTAAAAGAAGAAGAGTCCAACTTCCCTCACCAACCGCACACTAGCAAAGATGCCTTTCTCACAGTTTGAGTGTCTCTACCCATGGAATTCTGAGGCTCAGAGGAAGGAACTTAGAATTGGAAAAGCCATTGTAGTTCTAATTCGTGAAAGATCAATGCCCATTCTTTCTCACTTCTATTCCAATGGAAGCTTTTGATCAAGCCCTGAATCTTTGTCTGATGGACCATAATGGTCTTCCTTCTACAATTCAATCCCTTAGTTTCAATCCTGTATTAATTTAATAACTGCTTCTATCAGGATGAAAGTTTGTTTACAAAACTATGAACAGCAGTTCTTTTGGTCTTCCATAGTTACCTCCTTAATTTATCTTTCCATTGTCTCCACTGAGCTCCTACCCTCCGGTTTAATTGTATCCTGAATGTTTTGTGTTCCAAAGTGCCAAGTTACAGGGTCACAAACATACATGGCTGAACCAGATAAAGATCTCTTCCAGGTGATGGGCTCAGGTAGAATTTGGAAGGTTGTAACCTACCTAACAAGTGCCTTAAGTCCAGCAACCTCAAATGTAATGTGTATTACTTCTAAGAGAAAGTGTACCTCTAATCATTCTGCCTCTCTAATTCATAAGTAGTAAAAGCTGAACAAATGCATCTTTAATTTGGAAGAACCACCTAATATGATCAAACTTTTGTTGGTTAAATTATTACTCAAAAATGGAGACTTTATGGGTGCTAAAGCATTCTCTGTATCTCTTCCAGTAAGAAAACACTTTGAAAGTATTAACTGATATAGATGTTGCCAGATGTGCTTCATTGATAAGGGCATATTCTCAATGACCCATAGGGAAAATAAATCAAAGAAACCACCTCTTTAAATTCTTTTACTGCTTTAGATAGTCATGTAAGCGACCCTGCATCTATGGCCTTTGCAACACAGAAGGTCCAAATGCATGCAGATCCCAGTAAGAAGCCAGTGTGGACCTGAGCTGTGTGGTTTCAGGCAGGTCCAACCAGGGCCCCGCCCCGACTACAGCCACATGAATCCACTGGCCCCAGGTAAAAAGCTGCCTGGAAAAGGGCTACACAAGCACACATACAGCAACCAGAGACCTGACCCAATATCATTGTTAAGTGTGTGCAGATCCTAGCCAGAAGCCCGCTCAAACTCCAGCCACTGTGATGCACAGCCCCCAGCAAAGGTCCTCCCAGACAACAGCTACATATCAGGGCAGGCCCTAATGAGAGGCATGCCTAGATACCATCCCAAGTGTGTACTGGCCCCAGCTGGAACCCCGCCCAGACAACAGGACAGCACAGGGATCCAGAAGGCAACCATTCTGACTCCAGGAATTGGTGCACTGGTGAAGAGCAGAGAAAAGGCCTCTTGGTTGCTTGCTGAGAATTGAAGACCCCTGGGTGAGCAAAAACTCACCTCAAAGGTGCAGCAGGCTGTATCTGTTGAAATGAGAAGACAGATAAGCAAGTCTCAAAACCATGCTTCCAGATCACCTAAGGCAACCCCAAAAGGCACTGAGATGAAATGATCTGATACTCAACCACCTAGACTCTCTGAACTGGCAACAAAAGAGGATCTGGAAAAAATGAAATCAGAAATGATTTCTCAGATAACAACAGAGACTGTGACCATAGTGGAAGACATGGTTAATAGATCTAGAGCAGACACACATGATGGTTTTTAACTAACATGTATTATATTTATACTCATCTTATACTCGTCATGACATTTCCCTATTGTTGACCCTTTTCTTTTTAATTTTTCCCTCTTTTCATGTAATTTCTTCCCTTACCTTATGGCTTCATTCTGTTGGACTTCATAGAGTTATGACCCTCATTGTTTTCTTCTAGGATATTGTTTAGAATTTTATGGAATGCTGGTTTGGTATTCATGTAGTTCTTTGGGTGTTCTTTGTTGTGAAACTATGCTATTTCTCCATCAATGTGGAAAGTTAGTTTTCCAGGATATATTAATTTGGATTAGAGTTTGTTTTCTTTTAGCATTTAAAATATTTCATTCTAGACTCTTCTTGCCTTGATGGTTTGTGTTGAGAAGTCTGCTTTGATTCTGATGGACTTTCCTTTTTATGTGACTTCTTTCTATTCTCTAAGTTTTTAATATATGTTCTTCTGTCAGGTTTCTGGAATCTTGACTAGTATATGCCCAAATGCAGACTATCTTGACCATGGCTAGTTGAAGTCCTATTTGCTTCACTTATCTGTATGTCCAAAAATTATCCCCTGCTTGGGAAGTTCTGTGCTATTTCTTCTATGAACGTTTTTTTTTTAATGTCATTTGCACTATCTCCTGCTTTTTCATTGACTCTGATCAGTCATCTAGCAGCTGCTGGATTGATTATTCATGGTCCCTTACTATTTAAGAAATCATTCTTTTCATGGTCATAAATCACACTCCTGTCTTCAATATCTGATATTCTGTCCTCACATTGGCTCATTCTCCTGCATATACTTTTAGTGGAGTTCTTAATCTCATGGATATCTGTTTGAATCTGTTTCATGGATTCCATTTCTTTCCTATGCTGGGCATTCATGGTTTCCATCATGTTCTTCCCCCAATGTCCAGTACTGGGAATGAAACTCAGGAACTCGCACTTCCTGGGCAGGTACAGTGCCACTGAGGTAAATTCCTGGCTCCATCATGTTCCTAAGCTCCTCTATTTTTTTTAATCTGTTTCTGTTCTGGAGTCACTTTCATTCTGGTCACCATATCTGGACTTATCTGGGAGGTTATTTCTGTTTTGACTTTTTCTAGAGCCTTGTTCATTCATTTGTCACTTCCTTTGTTATTAGTTCAGAGAGTCCAGGTAGTTGACTTTTGGGATGTTCCACTTTGTTGTCCCCTGATTTGCCTTTGGCAAGCTGGAAGTCTGGCTTTGCCTCTTGTGTAGATGGCTTCTCATTTTTTATAAGATTACCAGGATCTATCTCTGCAGGTGAGTTGGCAGGAATTTAATTTCTTTATTAAATTAGATTACATTTTCATTAAGGAATGCTTATTTTTATCTCCTATGT